ACTGCACTGTTATAGTAAAGGCAATGTCACTGGAGTCAATGCACTGTTATAGTAAAGGCAATGTCACTGTAGTCACTGCACTGTCACATACCTCACAGATCTCTGAGACAGACCCCTCTAAGTGTGAAATATTAGGCAAACAACACAGTTGTCACACCTCAGATCTCAAGGACAATGATAACTGCATGAACACAAATGGAGAGTTCACAGCTATACTTATGTACTATAGGTACTGTGATTGTGTTATATACACAGCTGAGAATATAGTCACTGATTGCTGCTATGCTGGCTGTGCTGGTATTGCTCTCTGCTTTTATGACTTTTACACTGCGCTGTCACCATACTGTCTATTATCATTACACTGCGCTGTCACTATACTGTCTATTATCATTACACTGCGCTGTCACTATACTGTCTATACTTATCATTACACTGCGCTGTCACTATACTGTCTATTATCATTACACTGCTGTCACTATACTGTCTATTATCATTACACTGCGCTGTCACTATACTGTCTATTATCATTACACTGCGCTGTCACCATACTGTCTATTATCATTACACTGCGCTGTCACCATACTGTCTATTATCATTACACTGTGCTGTCACCATACTGTCTATTATCATTACACTGCGCTGTCACTATACTGTCTATTATCATTACACTGCGCTGTCACTATTACTGTCTCTGTTATCATTACACTGCGCTGTCACTATACTGTCTATTATCATTACACTGCGCTGTCACTATACTGTCTATTATCATTACACTGCGCTGTCACCATACTGTCTATTATCATTACACTGCGCTGTCACTATACTGTCTATTATCATTACACTGCGCTGTCACTATACTGTCTATTATCATTACACTGTGCTGTCACTATACTGTCTATTATCATTACACTGCGCTGTCACTATACTGTCTATTATCATTACACTGTGCTGTCACTATACTGTCTCTATTATCATTACACTGCGCTGTCACTATACTGTCTATTATCATTACACTGCGCTGTCACTATACTGTCTCTTTATCATTACACTGCGCTGTCACTATACTCACTCTGCTGTCATACTGTCTGTCATTATCATCTCATTACACTGCGCTGTCACTATACTGTCTATTATCATTACACTGCGCTGTCACTCACTGTCTATCATATCATTACACACTGCGCTGTCACTATACTGTCTATTATCATTACACTGCGCTGTCACTATACTGTCTATTATCATTACACTGCGCTGTCATTACACTGTCTGTCATACTATTACACTGTGCTCTCATTACACTGTGCATGTCATTACACTGCGCTGTCACTACACTACTGTCACTATCTCACTCTGCGCTCATTACACTGTACTCACTCTGCTCTCATTACACTGTACTGTCACTATACTCACTCTGCTCTCATTACACTGTGCTGTCATTACTGCGCTGTCATTTCACAGTGCTGTCACTATACTCACTCTGCTCTCACTTACACTGCGATGTCACTATACTCACTCTGCTGTCATTACACTGTGCTGTCTGTCACTGTCACTACTCACTCTGATGTCATTACACTGTGATGTCACTATACTCACTCTGCTGTCGTTACACTGTGCTGTGTCGTTACACTGTGCTGTCACTGTACTCACTCTGATGTCATTACACTGTGATGTCACTATACTTACTCTGATGTCATTACACTGTGATGTCGTTACACTGTGCTGTCACTATACTCACTCTGATGTCATTACACTGTGATGTCACTATACTTACTCTGCTGTCATTACACTGTGATGTCGTTACACTGTGCTGTCACTATACTCACTCTGATGTCATTACACTGTGCTGTCACTATACTCACTCTGATGTCATTACACTGTGATGAGGGGTTCCCACCATCCCTGTGCTGAGTCCCCAGCTCTGTACACTCGCTGTGTAATTTGTTCTCTGTAAACTCTCCATATATATATATACATTGATACTCAGTGTGGGTTTTATTCCCCATCCAGCTTTCTGCACTCCAGACTGGACCCCCGTGGCCCCTGAATTCTGCCTGAGCCGGCCCCCGCTCCTTGCTGTCCGTTGATGGTGAGCTGTAGATTGGACGCACGCCGTGGTCGATGAACTGTTCGCCGTGTCGCTGTTCTGTTTGCTGTATTGGTCGTCATGTGATAATTCCTGCCAGGCGATGCAGATAACTTATCTCCAAGATTCTTCCATCGTATAGCAAACATGTTGGAGGTTCCGTGCCGCGTCTCCATCTGCAGAGCGCCAGGACGATCCCACTCACCGATAAATACGTCACATGTTTACGCAGCCGGTGAACGATCGTCTGATTCTCAGCCGCTCAGATCCGCGATACGGAGACAATGCGTGTTCCGGAACAGTCCGCCTTCGCACATTGGATCCAAATGGTGACGGGCCCGGAACCCCAGCCAGGGCTCCTTAACCCCTTCCAGTCCGGACACTTCTACCCCCTTCCTGCCAGGACAATGTTCAGCCTTCAGTGCTATCACACTTTGAATGACAATGCGCGGTCATGCAACACTGTAACCATATGAATTTTTTAGCATTTTTTTGAGACAGATAAAGCTTTATTTTGGTTGTTTTTATTCACCACTGGGATTTTTTTTTTTTTTTTTTTGCTATATAAATGAAAATGTTCAATAGTTTTGAAAAAGTGTTTTTCTGTTTTTTGCAAAAAAAATTATCTTTCTTCATAAATCTTGGCCAAAATTTATTCAGTTATCTTTTAAGGAAAAAATAAAAGCCCAAATTGGTTTATAAACAAAAATTATAATTTTTTTTTTATTTTATTTTTGTTATATTATTATTTATGTTTTTTTTTTTTTTTTTTTACCATACTGTCACCCTAGCAGTACAGCATCTCCATAGTGACACTGTGCTACTTGTGGGGGGTGATAAAGATTTTTTTTTTTTTTTTACACTGATTGCTTTTACACCCATAAAGGATGTAAAAGCAATCATTTCTCCTTCTCTCTGGCTGCATTCTTACAGCCATTGAGAAATACTGTGTGAGCTGTGATTGGTCACAGCTTGTCACATGGTACAAGGCTGTTGTGAATATAGCCCTGTACCATGTGACCTCTGTGATCACTCACAGATTTCACATGTAGTAAGATGTCAAAGTGACATCTTGCTTACTACTCTTCATGTGATCACTGATTAGCCAATCAGTGATCACATGATCGGGACCTCATACAGAAGCCCAGCAATCAGTGTTCTGTGTCCGGAGGACACAGCGGACACCGAATCGTGGTGCTGTGCGCTCCCAGGGAGCGCACACATTCTAAAAATGTGGGCGGAGTTTATGAACGGCAACCCTCTCCTGCACTGGAGGTTCAACCTCTTTGTCAAGAGTACAATAAAATAAATATTTCCTACTAAACAATTTTTTAAAATTCTTAGCCCAGCGCTTATAGTTTACAGCTGTCAACGCTGCTGGCTCCTGCTCTCTCAGTGCTGCTTCTCTGAACCTCCGGTCTTTGCAGGAAAGGGGAGTGGACAGTGCTGTCTTAATCCAGAGAGGAGAGGGGAGCAGGGCCATCCTTGTTATCCTATTCCAGCCTTTCTGAACCAGGGTGCACAGGCACCCTGGGGCACCTTGAGGTTTCTTCAGGGGTGCCTTGAGGCTTCTTCAGGGGTGCCTTGAGGTTTCTTCAGGGGTACCTTGAGGTTTCTTCAGGGGCGCCTTGAGGTTTTTTCAGGGGTGCCTTGAGGTTTCTTCAGGGGTGCCTTGAGGTTTCTTCAGGGGTGCTTTGAGGTTTCTTCAGGAGTGCCTTGAGGTTTCTTCAAGGGTGCCTTGAAGCTTCTTCAGGGGTACCTTGAGGCTTCTTCAAGGGTGCCTTGAGGTTTCTTCAGGAGTGCCTTGAGGCTTCTTCTTCAAGGGTGCCTTGAGGCTTCTTCAGGGGTGCTTTGAGGCTTCTTCAGGGGTGCTTTGAGGCTTCTTCAGGGTTGCCTTGAGGTTTCTTCAGGGGTGCCTTGAGGCTTCTTCAAGGGTGCCTTGAGGCTTCTTCAGGGGTGCTTTGAGGCTTCTTCAGGGTTGCCTTGAGGTTTCTTCAGGGGTGCCTTGATGCTTCTTCAGGGGTGCCTTGGCAAAATGTCTAAAAATTGCCCAAAGCTTGTCTACAAGCCAGCGGTTGGAATAAGCCAGCCCTTTAGTTACACGTAGCCCCAGGTTTACATTGTGCCCCATTATCATCTTCTAGCCGCCGGTGTCCTGACAACCAATGACATCATCCGTTGATAAGGAGGACGTCAGCTGCCTGCCGTAAAATGATGGAAAGTCTTGAGACATTCTAAAACGGGGCGCCTGAAGACCGTCCATCATTTTACAGGGTGCCTTGACTGAAAAAATGGTCCTCGGCTAAAGGGCTGTGTGTATCTATTCATGCACACAGGGTAGGAAGACTCAGTAATAGTCTCTGCAGGAAAAGGTGGCTCCATAGGATACTGACCAAAGAAAGGAGCCACCTGGAAACCTGGAGCAGTGGTCACGGCGCCAGCTTGAAGCAGAACACAGGCGAGGGTTGAAAGATAAAGGAGCCATGTGCTCAGCGAGTGCGAAAATCAGCTGCTGAAAGTGAAGGTTAATGTCAGGTAAGTGCTTGTGTTTGGTGACAGGTGCACTTTAATAATTCAGCAATCCATTTTTTTTTTTCTTTTCATTTAGAGGTTTTCTGTCCATTCTGTCACATTTAGTTACACATGTAGCTGGGCCAGCAACCCTTTACAGAGCCGGAATCGCATACGCTGCTTAGCGTGCGGCATTTACATGAAACATACGTGTGATGGCAGGTGCGCTCTAAGTCCTCCTGCACACGGGACAATATCCCCGGCATGTTATCCTATGTGTCCATCCCCGGCATGTTATCCTATGTGTCCATCCCCAGCATGTTATCCTATGTGTCCATCCCCAGCATTTTATCCTATGTGTCCATCCCCGGCATGTTATCCTATGTGTCCATCCCCGGCATGTTATCCTATGTGTCCATCCCCGGCATGTTATCCTACATGTCCATCCCCAGCATGTTCTCCTATGTGTCCATCTCCGGCATGTTATCCTACGTGTCCATCCCCGGCATGTTCTCCTATGTGTCCATCCCCGGCATGTTATCCTATGTGTCCATCCCCGGCATGTTATCCTATGTGTCCATCCCCGGCATGTTATCCTATGTGTCCATCCCCGGCATGTTATCCTATGTGTCCATCCCCAGCATGTTATCCTATGTGTCCATCCCCGGCATGTTATCCTATGTGTCCATCCCCGGCATGTTATCCTATGTGTCCATCCCCGGCATGTTATCCTATGTGTCCATCCCCGGCGTGTTATCCTATGTGTCCATCCCGGCATGTTATCCTATGTGTCCATTACCCGGCATGTTATCCTATGTGTCCATCCCCAGCATGTTATCCTACGTGTCCATCCCCGGCATGTTATCCTACGTGTCCATCCCCGGCATGTTATCCTATGTGTCCATCCCCGGCATGTTATCCTATGTGTCCATCCCCGGCATGTTATCCTATGTGTCCATCCCCGGCATGTTATCCTATGTGTCCATCCCCGGCATGTTATCCTGTGTGTCCATCCCCGGCATGTTATCCTATGTGTCCATCCCCGGCATGTTATCCTATGTGTCCATCCCCGGCATGTTATCCTACGTGTCCATCCCCGGCATGTTATCCTATGTGTCCATCCCCGGCATGTTATCCTATGTGTCCATCCCCGGCATGTTATCCTATGTGTCCATCCCCGGCATGTTATCCTATGTGTCCATCCCCGCATGTTATCCTGTGTGTCCATCCCCGGCATGTTATCCTATGTGTCCATCCCCGGCATGTTATCCTATGTGTCCATCCCCAGCATGTTATCCTATGTGTCCATCCCCGGCATGTTATCCTATGTGTCCATCCCCGGCATGTTATGTGTCCATCCCCGGCATGTTATCCTATGTGTCCATCCCCAGGCATGTTCTCCATCCCCATGTTCTCCTATGTGTCCATCCCCGGCATGTTATCCTACGTGTCCATCCCTGGCATGTTATCCTATGTGTCCATCCCCGGCATGTTATCCTATGTGTCCATCCCCGGCATGTTATCCTATGTGTCCATCCCCAGCATGTTATCCTATGTTTCCATCCCCAGCATGTTATCCTGTGTGTCCATCCCCGGCATGTTATCCTATGTGTCCATCCCCGGCATGTTATCCTATGTGTCCATCCCGGCATGTTATCCTATGTGTCCATCCCGGCATGTTATCCTATGTGTCCATCCCCGGCATGTTATCCTATGTGTCCATCCCCGGCATGTTATCCTATGTGTCCATCCCCGGCATGTTATCCTATGTGTCCATCCCCGGCATGTTATCCTATGTGTCCATCCCCGTGTTTCCTATGTGTCCCCCGGCATGTTATCCTATGTGTCCATCCCCGGCATGTTATCCTATGTGTCCATCCCCGGCATGTTATCCTATGTGTCCATCCCCGGCATGTTATCCTATGTGTCCATCCCCGGCATGTTATCCTATGTGTCCATCCCCGGCATGTTATCTATGTGTCCATCCCCGGCATGTTATCCTATGTGTCCATCCCCGGCATGTTATCCTATGTGTCCATCCCCAGCATGTTATCCTATGTGTCCATCCCCGGCATGTTATCCTATATAGTATACTTACAGTATATGCATCACAGTGGCTAAATGGTTAGCAATTCCACCTGGCAATACTTGGGTTGTTGCTTTGAATCTCAACCACAGCACCCCCTGCCTGGGGTTTGCATGTTCTCCCTGTGCCTGTGTGGGTTTCCTCCCACACTCCAAAGACATGCTGGTAGGTTAATTGGCTCCTGTCTAAATTGGCCCTAGTATGTGTATGTATGAATGTGAGTTAGGGACCTTAGATTGTACTCCCCTTGAGGGTTAGGGACTGATGTCAATGTACAATATATATATGTAAAGCGAAAATTGATATAAGTATATATAAGTACCTGAAATAAATAAATAATACGGTGTAATTGTGATTGGTCTGAAATGTGTTCTTAGGCTTTCATTGCCTGTTGTATTGTTTAGCCTGACTTTTCATCCTGCTTCAGTTTGTTAATAAAGCCCGTTTTACTCTACCGGTAAGGTGGTGAGCCATTTTAAATGTTCCTCCATGTTAAAAAGGTTGAGAAAGACTGATGTAGAAAGAATGCTCAATTAAGAAACTAAGGGCCCCAATGCCAACAGACTATATTTGAAACACTGCTGGCCAGTGGGCTAATTGGGACTAGTTATGGTTCTGTGTTCACGGCACACAGCCAATGACATATCACTACACCAGCCCGTTGCCAGTGTCATGTGACCGCCGTGACCAATCACAGTAGATCACGTCACTTGTATACAATGGAAGGCTTCCTGTCATGCCATCCATTGTAAACAATTAGGTTGTTAGCTGTGACTGGTCAAGGCAGTCACATGATACAGACAGGACCAATCACAACCCATCTGTATCATGTGATCAGCTTGGGCCAATCACAGCTAATCACAACAAAAGACTGAATGAATCAGTTTTATTCAGTAACAATGATTGCAAATATCAATGGAATACATCGGTGCTAGCAATCATAATGTGTTAAAAAATAAATAAATCCTGATCACTCGCCCAGAGTAGTTCAATGTCACTATGGAAACATTGCATTGCTTTGGTCACAGTGTGCTGAAAAATAAAATAGTAAAAAAAATAAAAAAAATTAATAAAACATAAAAAAAAAAAATAGAAACATTTGAAAAAAAAAATACAAATTCAATTATTATTATTATTTTCACCAAAGAAATGTAGCAGAATACATTTTGACCTAAATTTACAAAGAAATGTTATTTATTTGCAAAATTTTATAACAGAAACAAAGTGCATTTTTTTATTCAAAAGTTTCAGGTGTTTTTTTTTTTATTTTACAAAAAAATAAAAAACTCAGTGGTGATTAAATACCCCCCAAAGAAAGCTCTATTTGTGTGAAAAAAAATGATAAAAATTTCATATGGGTACAGTGTTGCATGACCGCGCAATTGTCATTCAAAGTGAGACAGCGCTGAAAGCTGAAAATTGCCCTGGGCATGAAGGGGGTGGAAGTGCCCGGTAGGCGAGGGGTTAACATTGAGGAACCCTTGAAATATCTCACCAACATACCAGCAGCGTAGAGTGGGCTTTATTAATAAAACAAAGAAGGGGGGAAAAGTCAGGCTAAACAATGTAACAAAGGCAATGAAAGCTTAGCAATACATTCCTGACCAATCACAATGACAAATATAGGTACTCTATATATGTGGCCTAACTATCAGGAAAGAACCATGACTAGTACAAATGAGGCCAATGGCCAATGGTGGCCCCAGTACAGGCTGCCTGGAGTTGGGGTCCATAATCTGTTCATTAAGTGCTCCCTCTACAGTAGACTTTCTCAACTTTTTTTTAGCATGGAGGAACCCTTGAAACAACTTTCCAGGCTCAGGGAACCTCTACTAATAATGAATATGTGTACAGCTTGCAGTTCATTAGTTTGATGGTTACTTGGTATAATTGCCCGGTATTGAAGTGGTTAATCTGACTTTTCCCACTGCTTTTTGTTTGTTAATAAAGCCCACTTTACTCTACTGGGTCAGTCCAGTGAGGGTCACCACTGGGGAGACCGGAAAAGAACCCATCTATGCAGTTTAGGGAGTAGCTCTACATCCACTTTTAAACCTTTTCCAAAACCCCTATGCCCTGTTCAACACTGTGGGCATCCAATATTTTACTTAATATTCATAAAGGGCCATATGTCCATTGGTTCTTTCTTTAAACATCCCAAAGTTTTGTTTGCCTTTGTAGTTGCTGCTATAGGAACTTCTAAGCTCCATTAAGAAACTAAGGGCATCAATGCCAACAGACTATATTTGAAACACCACTGGCCAGTGGACTAATTTGGACCAGTTATGGTCAGTCCAGTAAGGGTCACCACTGGAGAACCCGAAGAACCCATCTATGCAGTTTAGGGAGTAGCTCTACACCTACTTTGAAACCTTTTCCGAAACCCCTATGTCTTTTTCAACACTGGGCATCAAATATTTTACTTAATATTCTAGAAGTGGTTTTCTACATGAATCATACAGGGCCATACGCCCATCAGTTCTCTCTTTAAACATCCCAAGGTTTTGTTTGCCTTTGTAGTTGCTGCTGTAGGAGCTTCTAAGCTCCATTAAGAAACTACGGGCATCAATGCCAACAGACTGTATTTCAAACACCACTGGCCAGTGGACTAATTTTGACTGGATATGGCTCTTTCCGTATAGTGAGGGTCACCACTAAGGAGACTGGAGAAGATCTATTCAGCTTAGGGAGTTGCTCTACACCCACTTTGAAACCTTTTCCAAAACCCCTATGTCCTTTTCAACACTGGGCATCCAATATTTTACTTAATATTCTAGAAGTGGCTTTCCACGTGATTCATACGGGACCATACGTCCATCAGTTCTCTCTTTAAACATCCCAAGGTTTTGTTTGGATTTGTAGTTGCTGGGGAGACTGGAGAAGAACCCATCTATGCAGTTTAGGGAGTAGCTCTACACCCACTTTGAAACCTTTTCTGAAACCCCTATGTCTTTTTCAACACTGGGTATCCAATATTTTACTTAATATTCTAGAAGTGGTTTTCTACATGATTCATACAGGACCATACGCCCGTCAGTTCTCTCTTTAAACATCCCAAGGTTTTGTTTGCCTTTGTAGTTGCTGCTGTAGGAGCTTCTAATATCCATTAAGGAACTAAGGGCCCCAATGCCAACAGACTGTATTTCAAACACCACTGGCCAGTGGACTAATTTGGACTAGTTATGGCTCTTTCCGTATAGTTAGGCCACAACCATAGTTTACTTACATATGGAATTGTGTTTGTTCTGGAATGTATTGTTAAGGTTTCATGTCCTTTGTTAAATTGTTTAATCTGACTTTTCCCACTGCTTTTGGTTTGTTAATAAAGCCCACTTTACTGGGTCAGTCCAGTGAGGGTCACCACTGGGGAGACTGGAGAAGATATATGCAGCTTAGGGAGTAGCTCTACACCCACTTTGAAACCTTTTCTGAAACCCCTATGTCCTTTTCAACACTGGGCATCCAATACTTTACATAATATTCTAGAAGTGGCTTTCCACGTGATTCATACAGGACCATACGTCCATCAGCTCTCTCTTTAAACATCCCAAGGTTTTGTTTGCCTTTGTAGTTGCTGCTGTAGGAGCTTCTAAGCTTTACCGTTAACCATAATTTACACGTCCTTCTGCAGTCCTTCCCTCAATTGGATACTGTTTAATAAATGAGGAGGACTTCTTTGAATCTAACTGAAGGATTGCCGCGTTGAGTTCTGTAAGAGGTAATAAGAAGCCTTCTCTTCTCCCGCAGTTCTTGACATGAAGTTTCTCTTTAATCAGACATTCGATGTGTTAGTTATGCAGAACGGAGGCGTTATTGATTGATTCTGTGGTAAGGGTAATTATCTCCTCTGCTGCTTTGATTAACCGCGCTGTATTGTCAGGGCATGGTAGAGGCGAATCAATTCAGCGGTAATGTCATTGACTGCACAATATATGGCACTCAGTCTTCTCACGTAAACTGTGATTATTTAAAGCGAGGGGTTGAGAGAGGGGCCACATTATAAACATCACAGGAAGGAAAAAATAGCAGCCAGTCGGGCGTTAGCTGTATATGCGATGCGTGAAGTCTATAGGTGCCTGAAATCAATAGGTTAGAACAATAGGTTATCAGCCAACAAAGGCCTATATACTTTCTCCTTAGAAAATGCCACCAATTTTCTGCTGAGGTCTATACTGCTTGAGCAGCTTGGATCCACCTTATCTTCTCACTAAATGTTTTTTTTTTTCACGTTCAAAACATTTTTATAGAAATGTATTAAAATACAAGTGACAACATGAAAAATATATAGATAAGCAAAACATCATCGGTTGCAAGAATTATTACTGCAGATAATAGAAGGCTATATATATGAGCACGATATGTAGTTGTAGATGTTCCAGTAGACAATGAATGACTGAGAGATGGTCCTTGAGTGTCTTACAAGGGCAAACAAACCATGTGTCATAAGTGCTACTGAAGTCTGCTATAACAATAGATTTATAGCAAAGAAGGAATGGGAAAAGGAAATGAGAAAGCCTCCACCTCAGGGGGAAATAGAAAAACAATAGTGAAAGATAAGGAACAAGCATAGTAAGTACAGATAGGGGAAGGGCATCCAGAATACCCAAGTCAAGACTGAAAACATTTCAGTGCCAATAAGGAGGTATAGCTTGTTAAAGGCATCGAAGGGCATATTGTATCCACATGTGAGAGAGGAGCAGTATTCAGGGCCCATTTGGGAACAGAACTCACACAGAGGCCAGGTGTTGTGGTGTCCAGTTTTTTTTTTAAGTCCGCAAACGTGCAGATAACGAAAAACCCGTAAGTGTTCACAAAAAATGTGCAAGTGCAAAACACCACACGAAAAAGTGCACTTAGGGGTGTGCTTTGTCCTTCCCCCGAAGGGGATGGACCACTACCCTGATCCCCCGGGGCACGAAGCTCCTGACAGGGACAAGGTTCCCATTTGGTCCTCCTGGCCAAAAGGCCTGGTGGACCACCGTTCCTTGTGTCCAGCCGAAGCCAGACACCCAGTACTTCGTCAGGGGGATCTCCCGAAGAGAAAACCCCCTAGGGACAGGGGAGGAAGTAACCAAAAAGCCACACATCCTCCCCCTAGACTTCAGGGCAGGCCCGAGGACCCACACCCTCCA